TCAAAGATCTGACAAATGGAGAAGTATGGAGCCATATGTGAGGGCATTAGCTATCAATTGGAGTTGAGGTACTATCTTTCCTTATTTGCAAACTCTCGCACTCACCTCGTTCGTTTAAAGTAATGTATCAAGCTATATGTTGTTGTTGATGTTTATTCCATGATTAAGCACATTTCATCCCTTTGCATGTTTGAAAAATCTGTATGTTGTTTATTTATGTCTTTTTGGATGCTTATTTGAACCAAATTAATGATTTATGTTATTTTCAACTGTATGAGTCGACCTACATAGGATTCCGGTCGACTCATAAAACTACAAATTTTCATGTTTATAAAGCGGGTCTGCTCAGGTCGACCTTATGGTTGACTTAAACCCTAATAAATTCTCATTAAGTGTGTTAATACAGTATGCTTCAACGCACAACCTGCCTAGGTCGACGCGTCGCGTGATGATGTTGAAAATTTGTTTGATAAACTGTTCAAATTCCCTATTTATTAAATGCATTTGTTCTTATGTTTTATATTCAACCTAGATCTTCATTAGCATTTTCATTGTACATTGCACCTACTCAAGGCTATCTCTCTACCTCTCCTCTTCCCAAAGCTCTATTGAAAACCTAATTTCTCCATAAAAAGGGTAAATTTACTTTCTCCCATCTGTCTCAAAAGGAAAATTCTGCTTCTACAATTCTTCATCTCCACAAAGTTAATCAAAATGGCTACAAGAAGAGCTACCGGAAAAAGAACTACTCAAGCTCCTTCTGCTCAAGCAGGTCCATCTGGAGCTACTTTACCGGTAACAACTATCTCTCTCTTACCTCCTGAATATTTCGAAATTTATGAGAAAAACTTTAGCAAAAGATCTATAGTCAAGCAACATATTTATTATAGAAGAGCTGCTGAGAGAATGCATATACAAGAGGTGATTGATCTTTTAGATGCACAAGATTTTAACAATTTTTTGGAATGTGATGTCAAATACAATGAAGACTTAATAAGAGTCTTTTATACAGGAATTCAGGGTAAATTTTAGGGTTTTGAGTTTACGACCAAGCTTGGAAATACCAAGGTCTGTGTTAATGACTTGGTATTGAAAAATCTATTTGATATGTCGCCTGTGTCCGCTGAGCCAATCATTAAGGCAACAGATGCTTGTACTTTGGCAAGTTATAAATTCAAGGAAGCCTTGAATTCCATGCAGAAGAAACCCTATGATGCCGACATCGTAGAAATTTACCTCTTTCCGAAAACGGTTACGACTAGAAAACTGAAACTTGTTGATAGAATCCTGCAGTGGATTGTGTCGCACATCCTGTGTCCTAAGAAAGATGGCTACTCTCGGGTGAATCAAGCCGAGGTTCACTTGGTCTACATCGTTAAGAAAAAGGTCAAGATTAGCTGGCCTCATTACATTGCTAGTCAAATATATTCACAAAAGGATTCTGGTAGAGGAACCGCTCTATCATATGGTTCTTTATACAATCGGTTCTCAATAATGCAAACATCATTGTTCTAGGTATTCCCTATAAATCTTTGACAAATAATCAAGAGTTCTATCAAAAGACTCTGACTATGATGGGGTATATCTGGGATCCGAAAGATAGTCGCTACCGATTAATTATCAAGGCCACTAGTTCTCAGTTAGAAGAATATGATGAAAGTGATGAACATGTAGAAGAAGAAGAAGAAGAAGAAGAAGAAGAAGAAGAAGAAAATGGAGGTGGACAACACATGGACACTGATGATGCTATGATAGTGGTTGGCTAGACCAATCACCCCACTTGGTGCATAATGATAACCAAGGCTGGGGTGCCTAGCAACATACTGGCTGAACATCATTGGGTAACAATTACATGCCGCAAGCGTCGAATTAGGATCATCAAGACACCCCAGACTAGAGCTACGTGCCTCCATCTACTCCACATCCCCAACAAAGCAACGATGAACTCCTTGATCTTATGAGAAGCATACAACTTGAACAACAAACCTTCATGTCTGCCCAAGATGAGCGGTTCTCGCAATTGCAGAATCAGTTTCGAGCTCACACAAAATTTTTTAATTCCTTTACATCAGCTGTGATGGGTCGGATAGATGGAACCGTTGAAACTACAGCGGGACAACATCGTTCTCTCACTAACAACTTCAACACTCTCAATCGAGCTATTTTGGAGTATATGGAACGAGATGATGCGTAACTACCTCCACTTCTAGAATATTCCTTTCGAGGACGAGGCCATCACTTTAGGGGGAGGGGACCTTGAGTCTGTCTTAAGAATTTCACTGTGCATCTCATATCATCTTGTGTTCATTAACCTCTATTGTAGATTTCTTATTGTACTTACTTGCTTTATGAAGACATGATTACAGTTTGTTATGAAATAGTGAATATTTATGTTCTTTTGAGTGCCTTTTTATTTATCCCTTATATGTTTTCATTGACTGCATTATATGTGAATGTGTGTTGATGTCTAACCTGTTGCAAATAGCTTGAATTTTCTTATCTCTTATATAATATGAAATACATTAACCTCTTTCTTCTTTCTTTTTGATATTGTTAAAGGGGGAAAAAATATCAAGCAGAAACATCGCTTTTGTAAAACTTATTTAACATGCAGATTGTATACAGACAAATGCATTGAGTAAGGGGTAGGATGATACAATACATTGTACACCAAGTTTCTACTATTTTGCCATCATCAAAAATAGGGATTATGTGAGGTAAAAGTTCCTCATAGTTAGCTACACAAGTTTTAATGATGTCAAAACTTACATAGGTAGAAAAATGTACTTTGGACGGTATCATTGTGTCGCATATGCATACCTTATTCCTCTTGCGTCAAACATTGGTCAAAAACATGTTTAGATACATATAGAAAAAGTACAATATGTGTTCCATATAGGTTTGATCACGTTGGTCTAGCTTGCAATATGGTGGAGTGTCTCAAAAGTAGCTAAATACATGAAAATATGCATTTTTGCATATTCTGAGTCTTTGAGTCGACTCAAAGATTGTTCTGGTCGACTCATACAGAAGTTATTTTGCATGGTCTATTCTCAGGAGTGCTCGCGTCGACCCTCCGGTCGACTCATACTGTGTTCATTTCTGTCTGCCTAAATTTGTATCCTTTGCATCGACGCATGACCTGTTCCTGTCGACGTAAAGTGTTGTTTCTGCATAATCTGAAACTCGAAAGAGCTCAGGTTGACCCTTCCCTTTGTATAGGTCGACCGCTCGCGCGTTTTTCACTAAAGTTCTATTATGTGAAACTCTCAAAGTGTTTGTTAAGTCGGTTAATTGTTTTTTGACTTGCATATATATATATATATATATATATATATATATATATATATATATATATATATATATATATATATATATATATATATATATATATATATATATATACATATATATATATATATATATATATATATATATATATATATATATATATATATATATATATATATATATATATATATATATATATATATATATATATATATATATATTATATATATATATATATATATATATATATATATATATATATATATATATATATATATATATATATATATATATATATATATATATATATATATATATATATTGAGTTGGCTTATTCTTCAAACATAACAAGAAAAGTGAAAATAGACACTGATTTTGTTCTCATCATCTTCATCCTCTTTGTTGCATTTTCTCAACAACTACGTATAATCATTTTTGTTGGACATTCTGCATTATTGAGGTGATAACGTCCAAACATAGGATTGGTGTAATTATGTTTGGGTTAAGAAATAAGTGAATTTTTCTTGAATAAAATCGTTAAGATTTTGTCCTCCAAGAATCTTGGATTTTTTTTTTTTTGGGGGGGGGGGGGTTACATGAATCGGTCCATTACAGATTCAGACGAGCGAAGGTAATCGAAGAGAACGGGAGGTTCTGTCAATTTAGTAGCGGTAACTGGAGGATTGTGAGAGGAAGATTCAGGTTCGAAGCGTTGGTGATTGAAATCAGTCAGGAAAGATTTAAAGACCATAGGGTTGTTCAAAGGGTGTGCCGTAATCGAAGGTTTACTCATCAAGTTCGAAGGACTTGATTCAGCTTGAATAAAGGGAAGAGAAGGAATAGGCTCTGCATCAACAATTGGGTTTGATTGTTTGAATTCTATTGCTTCTCTTGTAAATATTTGCAAACATGTTATATATATATATATATATATATAGGTCTCAATTCTATTTTTAGAATTGAGGGCAAACGTACCCTAAGCGAAGACGACGGGGGACTTGCCTCAACAATTTGGTGTTCTCTCTTTATTTTTCAATTGTTTAAATTCTGAGTTTGTGTGCAAACAATTTAGTTGATCAAAGTTCTGATGTGTGCAGTGCTGAACCATTTTTAGAAATCTTATTACAATCCTTGATTGTAATTTAATATTGTAGCACTTCACTCACATATTGAAATTTACTTGTGGTGCCTTGCACGCCAAGTGTTCGACTGTTTGTGTGAACACAAACACTTGTGCTGTCTTTTTAATTGGGTTATATTTTTCACACATTGGAAATAGTCCAACCTTATAGTGAATAAAATATAGTTGATATGTGTTCAAATTAGTAATTCTAAAATCTCAATTTTATCGAATTCCATAGGCTTTGCGTATATCTAGTCTTTTCGGTAAAGGTTCATTTTAGACGAATATAGTTCCTCGATCACTTCTGCCTAAAAACATTTTAAAACCAAATATTGGTAAGCGTCGACTCTGGTCTTAACAAGTGATCTATTCAACCCCCCTTCTAGATATGCACCCTCGTCTAACATATACTATAAACTAAATAAGCTATAAACTATAAGTTAAATTTCTATTTAAAATAGCGTATGAAAAATAAGCTATAAATTAATAAAATGTAAGCTATAAACTCGTAATAAAAATACAGTTATTAAATGATTCTTTTATTGTCACCTTTCATTTTTATCATGGTAATGCAAGGTCTGACTAGATGATGAAGAGGGTAGAGGAGACAAGTTTGTTTAAAGGGTTCAAGGTGAATGAAGCAACTACTTACAATATGGTGCAATTTGCTGACGATACTTTATTCGTGGGAGAAGGTAACTGGGAGAACCTCTGGTGTTTCAAGGCGTTTCTCAGAGGTTTTGAAATGGTTTCGGGATTGAAGGTTAACTTTCTCAAAAGTAGCTTGTGTGGGATTAATTTGAAAGAAGAATTCCTTGTTGTTGCTTCTACCTTTCTCCACTGTGCGACAAGTTCAATTCCTTTCAAGTTTTTGGGAATAATGGTAGGCGATAGTCCGCTTAAAGCTAAGCTTTGGAATCCTGTTCTGGAAGTGTTTAGGAAGAGATTTAGGGTATGGAGAGGCAAGAATTTGTCTATAGGGGGAAGAGTGGTTTTGATCAATTCAGTGTTAAATGCGCTGCTGATTTTCACTCTCTCGTTCTATAAGGCTCACGTGGTAGTTTTAAAGGAGATTATCAAAATTCAATCCCGTTTCTTGTGGGGTAGTTCCTCAAACCATAAGCCTATACATTGAATCAACTGGAATAAAGTGTGTTTGCCAAAGGAGAAATGGGGTCTTAGGATTAAATATATAGCTATGTTTAATAAATCTCTTTTGCTCAAGTGGAAATGGAGGTTTTTTTCTCAAGAATGAGCGTTATGAAAATGAATTTTGGAGCATAGATATTCGCCTCTGAACTCGAGTATGGCAGCAGAAGTAATGAGTTATACAGGGGTTGACCGAAACTGTTCAAAGTCCATTTGATGGAGGGATTTAATGTCTATTGGTTTTGAAAGGGAGTATCTGTTGGATTTGTTTTCTGGTAACATTCGGGGTAAATTAGGAGATGGAAGCAAGATTCCCCTTTGGCATTGCAATTGGATGGAGAATCAACCTTTCAAGGATGTTTTTTCTAATCTTTCTTCAGTATTTCCTAATCATAAGAGATGTGCGGCTGAGACAGGTTATTGGATCCGATCGTCGTGGCACTGGTTGTGTCAAGTTCCTGCTCTCCCTCATGGATCTGTTCTGCACCAGAAATTGGAGGATCTCACTTTCTCGTTGGCTGAGTGCGGGCCTAGTTTGCAAAGTAAAGACAGTTTTTAGTGGATCCTTGAAGACGATGAAGTGTTTTCTGTCAGTTCGTGTTATTCCTTGCTAACTCAAGCCAACCAGCAGTCTTTCTTCGTAGAAGAAGTAGTGGCTAAGGCATTGCAGTTTCTTTGGAGCTCTAAAATTCAATCCAAAATTCAGTTGTTTTCTTGGAGACTTTTAATGGACAGAATTGCGACAAAGGATCAATTGGCGAAAAAAAGGTATTATTGTTGGAGGCAACGGTCTGATTTGTGTTCTTTACGGTTGCTTAGATGAAAATATTCCTCATCTTTTTCTGGATTGCATTATTGCTCTTAATGTGTGGAAGGGAGTGGATAAGTGACTTGAGATTGAGTTGGTGAGTTTCAATAGTTGTGTAAACTCTTTGATTTTCTTTGTCTGTTTGCTGCGTAATAAGGTTGGAAAGGATTATCAAAATTTCATATGATCGTATGCTGTGTGGGTTTTATGGAGGGGTATAAATGATGTTGTTTTTAATAGTTTGAACTTTGACGTCGAGAACTCGTTGTACTTGATTAAATTCCTTTCTTGGAGATGGTTTTGTTTAGAGGTTTGTCGGTATGATGCTTGTTCTTTTTATGACTAGCGAAAGTAATTCCTGCGTGAATTTCATTGCCTTTTGAATACCGCTTTTGACTTTTCATACATATTAAGAAATGTAATTATTATGGTATGGAAAAGAGAAATTATGAAAAGTTTTACAAAATAATCATTCATTAATAATATTGGAAAGACAAATTTACATAATTAAAAGAAGAGAGAATAAAAAAATATTTAAGAGTATAAAAAAAAACATTAATAATTTATTGGTATTGTAAAATGACTTATATTTTAGTACAAAATATTTTCCGAAATCGATTTATAATAAACGGATGTAATATAATCTTAAAAAATGTGTCTTGCAGAGAGTCCAAGTCAAATAGTGAAATGCTTATAAGAACCATGATGTGTAGGAATCCACTTAATTTCTTAAAATAAAATGAGAAAACCTATTACTATAAGTTTTATGTATGCACATAACACATATTTCTAGAATAAATAACATAACTATGCATTTATGACCCTTAATAGATTCCTTTATGTATTCAACAATCAATATTATTAGAGATCTATATTTTTGAGAATTAAAGAGAATGTCTACCTAGTGTAATGTGTGAAAAAAGTACTACTCAATGTTATAATGCTAAGTTGATGAACATAACAATATAAGATAGAGAAACAAATAACACTCCAATCTTCATTTAAAAAGTTAATTAATTGGAACAATTTTTTTTAAACAATTTATTGGACAAATTAAAAGTAATATGTTTCTTATTATAAACTGGCCTTCTGGGTTGATTGTAATATGTATTGGATCCTAGAATACAACAAACATATGATATGTCTCCACCTCATGTTTCAATATACAAACACATATCAAAAAGTTTTTAACAAACAAAAAATGCCATATCCATGACACAAGAAGAACGTTAAGAGTTTATACTTTATCCAATAGCATAACAAACTTGCATCAAAAATAGAAAAAGAAAATCAGGATTTCACATGCATGCATTGCACTACAAATTATTCGCACTGAACAGAGACCTTAAGCTTACACTTAAGTGGGAGTTCCAAGGCTTGTTTAGGATCAATACCATACAAATAAAGCAACCCTGAATCCTTGTAACTACAGATGCATTCAAGATCAGCCTTAGCAGTTGCAGAGCAGCAAGCGCGACTAGGTTTACGAAAATTACTGTCGCCAGTCACGTATGGCTCGCACGATTTCCTCTCTTCTCTTGTCATGTTACAAATTGTCATACTATTAGATAAAATAGCATTACCAATTATCAACAACATTCCCACAACCAAAAGCTTCTGGAATGCCTCCATCTCTATATATAGAGATATTTCTTAATTTCAATGATTTGAGTTTATATAAATAAAACTTTTGGCGCATATAAGTTGTAAGAATATAATATTGGGGATAGTAAGTAAGTTCAAGGCTCTATAACTACGTGCATGAACGATTTTACTTGTTAGATTCCCGTGGGGCAAGGTGATAGTGTCTTTAATGAATTGGAAAAGACAAGAAACATAGTATAGTACGAATTAATATTATGTGATGTCTCAATCATTCAAAAAATATATGTGATGTCTCAAAGGTGCATCGATCAGACAATCATTTCAATTATTTTTACAGCTAATTTGATGGTTATAACAAGATTTACAAGTGCGAGGAATGACAAGAAATAGACCAGAATGAATTTATATTCAATATAATGATGGAGTGTTATTTATACAAAGGAGAAGAAACTAAGGAGTGATGTGTTCTTCACATGAAGTCAATCTTCAACATCTATATTTTTATTATTTACAAAATTAAATGGCATGCCTCACATTTTTTCTTGATTATTTGAAAAATTGAGATAATATATAACAATCAATACAAGAAATTGTTTGATTAAGCAGGGACATTTGCGAGGTAAAAAACCCTACTAAATATCTATATTGTTTGGGATTTATTCCCTTACAATGTATAAAATAAAAAAAACAAAATTAATAAAACAAATCGTGTGGGCAACCATTGCAAATGTTAAGAAAGGAGATTTTGAAATTTGAAATTGAACATTTGCAAGAGACACCCGTAGCTAATCGTTTTAGTAAATTTTGCGAGGGACAACCCCACACAGGTTTTGAGATCAGTCTGCCACTTGTCCCGTCACAGCTATTTTGTGTTAGTCACTTTAATAAAGGTGTTTACATTTGCGAGGGGCACCCCCTAGCCATATATTTATGTTGCCAGCCATATATTTATGTTGCCAGCCATAATTTTTGCTGCATTTGCGAGGGACATAATCTTTCCAATTTTTCCAATTTCACTTCATTAACCTCACTCTTCTACCATCAAACTCAGATTTTTCATAAAAAAAAATCTTCAATAGATTTGTCATTTAGAAGATAATTTTATAAATTTTTTATTTATTTTATTTTTTTTCTTCTTCTGACTTTCGAATTATATCAAACCTCTAATTTTAATTTATTTTGTTCAGTTTCTATTTTTTTTATTAAGGTTTAAAATTTTACAAAGAGAGTAAAATCAAAGGTTTAGAGTTGTTTAATATTTCATTCAAGGTAGATATTTTTTCTCTATTTTAAAAAAATATAAATATATGAATCTTTGAATATTTGTTGTTATTTTTTTGATATTTGTTGGATATTAGTTGATAATGGTTAATATTTTTTAATATTTATTAATATTTTTATATTTTTATATTTTTTAATATTATTTTAGAAATATTATATTATGTATTATTTAGTATTATTTTTGAAATAATACTATATATTATATAATATATTTTTGACACACTGGGATAGGGGCTTTGCACCTCACAAATGCCAAATCATAAATGCATTTGCTAGGGGTTTATCCCCTAGTAAAATACTAATACGACTGCGTCACTAGACTATTGAAATAAGATTTGTTTATGTCTTTAAAAGGTTTTGATGATAACAAAGTATTTAAAGAAAAATAAGGTTTGCTAATAGTTGTTCAAGTGTGCACGATCATAAGCTAAGAATTCATAATGAATTAATCATGTTGAAAGAATTAATGAAGAAGCAATACTACTCAAATTTTGAATGATCAAAATCTGAATATGTTCATCGGCATCTGAAGGTTCAAACTCTGGTATGCTTCTGGTGACAACTCAGACCCCGAAGGCTTAAAGAGCGTCTGATCCGTACTCTGCACAAGAGGTGATCAGTCTTGTCAAAGTGACAAATTTCTAAACAGAGTCAACTAGTGTTTGATTTTACAAGGCTCAAGGATGGTGATGTAAGTTCTTCAGTTTGTACTACCTTTTAGTAGATACCTAGTTACTCAAAAGGTGATGTGGACATTACTTTTGTTCAATGGACAACACTTCTGATCGAATACAACTCTCGATGCTGCTTGACCTGTTCACCTATACGCATGGCTATCTAGTTCCAACTGTTACGGTTACCATTTGAAATAGTGTGGTTAGAAAATATGATTAAAATATCTTTTTTTTGCAACGACTCTAAATCTGTCTTGGAGCTAGTTCTTTATATCTTCAAACAAGCTACCTCTAACGGCTATTTTCATGGTCCTATAAAATTTTTTTCAAGGATATGAAGAAGATAATGATTATACTGATTATGCTAATCAAGTTGGTCAAGTTGATTATTATTGGTTCATTGTTGAAAAACTCAAAAAGTACTTAATATTCAAATACTATGGAAGTCTTTGAACAAGTTGTCAACAGAACCACACAACACAAATAACTTCTGATACAAGCAAGAACACGTGTATATTTGTTAGCTTGTACATAGGGTCTTAAGATTTCTTATCAATGTTTATCTTAGAAATCTTAAATACTTCAAAATTTATGTTGTAACTGTGCACCACTGATAGG